AGGATGTCCCCTGAGTGCCTCCCTAGGGAGATGCATAGGGCATGCCCGATCAGGAGGAGATCCCGGGGAAAACCCAGGACATGCTAGAGAGACTATATGTCTCTCGGTTGGTCGGGATATGCCTTGGAGTCCGCCCAGAAGAGCTGGAAGAGGTGGCTGTGGAAAGAGATGTCTGGGCCTCTCTGCTCAAGCTGATGACCCCGCGACCCAACTTTAGAACAAACAGAAGATAATGGATGGATGGATGGAAGACACACTTCAGAAAAACTGCAAAAAATAAAAGCTCCCATTTCATGTTCTTTACTTGAAAAAGCCCAAATATTAATGCCTTTTTTCTGAAAAATGAAGTCAACATATACTGCTGATTAACTTTTGGCGTTAAACTGATTCAAGATGGTCACCACAGGCAACTGATTTTTAAAAGCAGAAAAATGCCTCTAGCTCAATCATACTTCAGTCATTCTCTCAAACTTGGTGTGGTAGTAGAAAAGCGTCAACTCATGGGAAGGTTGGACCAAAACCTTCCTAATATAAAATCATCTATGTTAGTCATGTGGAATAAAATATATTAGGAAGATGTTGGCAGCCGTTTTGGCAATGGTGAGGCTGCCTGCCTAATGCGAAGGATTACACTGTGCTTCGAGTGCTCAGACTCAGATGCGTTGCGAGTTAAACCATGAGCTGGATGCGATTTCTGAGAATTGCAGGCCACTTGCAGCTCCTAGAACTCACTGGCATGAAGGAATCGACCTTGGATAAGGTTACAAGCACGAACAGGCGGAATGACCACAATTCAGGCTGTTTGGATTCGCCATAGAGTGTAGCAGCAGAAATTATGAAGGCAGACATGAAATCAGTAGAGTTGGCCCGTCTCAAAACAGTTGCTGTTTATCCCCGCTGGCCTTGGATAGGACAACTCATCTCAAATTGCTCCTGGAGGATAAGTAAATCATGAAGCTCTACTCTGCCCCCCCCCCCCCCCCCCCCCCCAAAAAAAACATTTGTGGACTCTTATCTGAGCTGAACCGGTTGATAGACACTGTGCCATCTTTATCAGGACTATGAACATTTCTGGTAGCGTTCACGGACAATCTCATCGCCTTTGTCGGCCTCTCCCCCCACTGCAAAACGTCTATGTTGCTTTGTGCTGAGGTAGTTTTTTGCTACCTTACACTGTGCCCTGTGTGTCAAGGGCACAGTAGCTATGTTTACATGGACATAAGCAACCAGATTAAATGGCCGTTTGGAATAAAAACGCGTCATGTAAATGCCCCGTTCAGATTTTTTTTTGTTTATTCAGCGCAATCTGAAAGAATTTGTAATTGGAAAGAAACAGGTGGTTTACGCCGATTCATAAACCGAACGGTGTCCATGTAAACGCTTAATCTGTTCATTCTTTTCCGATCGTGAAAAATGAACCTGACTGCGCATGTGCGACCTATGCCATTTCTGCCTGGCTAGATGCTAATCATATTAGCATGTCGGGGAAGCAAAACTGGTCAGTGAGCGACACAACATTTCTACTAGAAACTTTGAAAGAGCTCAAAATGATCTGTATTACCTGCAGCTCAGTCAGGGAGTGCAGTACCTGTTGCGGGTCCATTTTGGGAACTCAGGTTTGTTTACGTTCATCCCGAAAGAAGAACTTCTTCTGTGTTTTTTTTTTTTTTTTTTTTAAAGAGAGTTTACCACTCTGCGCACATCAGTACTTCTGTTCAGAACAAAGCCCGCTGCATGTAAACGCTCGTCATGAACGGATTGTGCCCATGTAAACGATTCATTTGAATTATTTAATCTGAAAACATTTCAATCCAGTCAAATAATTTTGTGCATGTAAACATAGCTAGTTTGAGAGATTTTTTTAATATCTTCTTTCCTCATGTTTTTCTTCCCTTTTCTTATCTAATCGATAAGGGCAGCGCTTCACAACAAAGCTGCAGCCCCCGTACACTTCCATCTACCCTACAGATGCATTGAAATGTATTTTTGCTGCGCTTAACTGTGTAATGACAATAAAGTTGATTCTGTGTACAGCAATGATGTACACAATCTTGTTTTTTTTAATTCTGTATTAAACCTCTTTATATTTAATGTACATGTTGTTATGCTTTGCTGTGCCCTCAGCAACCTCTTGTACAAGCAGGTGAGGCTCTGCAATTTTGTTGTACTTGTGAAAATTACAATAAAGCTTTATACATTAATTCAAAAATGATGTGCATTCCTTCAAGGAATATTAAACCTTTAAATTAGTTCAGCAATCAGTACCACTACCAACATTTCATAAAAAAAATCCAGTAAAGTGGAGCTGCGGGAAGTGAAGACAGTTGTTTCTTCTAAGTTCAAAATGTTTTCATGGGATGACGTGAAAACAAAAAACTTGGAGATGGTTTTTTTTTGCTTCTATATAAATGATTAAATTTCACAGAAACATAGAGAATCATGAAAACTCACAGCAGAACTTCAAGAGAAGCGCATCTGTTGTATTCATCTCCTCCCCTCTCTAATTCTGATGTAACAAACAAATCGGCACGTCTTCACTGAAGGACAATGGACCAATCAGTGCCGTCTGCTCGGTTCTTTCACTTCCTCTTAGACTGAGGCTCCACGTGGCTTCATGTGCTCCTAGCAGTGTGGCTCTGCCCAGAATGTAATTAAAAGATGCATTATTAATCTTGTCCTGGTGGCACAGAGACAAAACAAAACGGCATAAATTTCAGCCCGCCTCTGCGCACACAGGAGTGAGGCAGTGTGTGTGTGGGTCTATTATCTCCCTGACTCCTGACTAATGTTGAAGCCACATCTGCTCACAGCCGAGGTGCCTCGCAGTCAGTCATATATTTGCACCGAACCATCCGTCTGGCTCTGGCAGAGCAGCAGGGAGATGACGAGAAAACAATCAGCACCAGCGTTCTGCCCTTTAAACCGCAGGGTCCGATACAAAAACACCATAAAAGACCCACGCCTATGAAAAGCACAGTCACACAGAATCAGTCAGAGGACAGGTGTTAGAAACATTGATGGTTGTTAGCTGGAAGTGGGGAGGGGAGCAGTTACCTCGAGGTGGAGGTGAGAGGAAAAAATGAACCCATTACCTTGAAGAACCAACCCCAGAGAGCCAGAACCCGCCCCGTGGTGTCAAAGTGACATCTCTCCACTCACTTATTTCTGATCGGCTTTAGTCCAACATCAGCAGCAAAGCTGGGAGACGATAGCCTGACCTCACATCTGAAGAGTAACGGCCCGTCCACAGATTAGAACCCGTTTCTGAGCGGGCCTGCCAAGCTTTGACTTCATTCACTTCTTGGAGGAAACATATGATAAAATATGAAGATATGAAAGTTGTAGTCAAAAAGAAACTGACCAAACGGTGTTTATGGGTTAAATGATTGATTTGATTACTAAAACATGTTGTTCTTTGAGATACTTAATTATTTAGCTTCATTTTCAAGATTTTCCCCACAAAAAATTCAATGAAATATTTTACATTTTCTTCTCTGAAATCTACTTCTTTTGTCTTCTAATGCTTTAGCTTTTAGCTACTGTCTTGCTAATTTAACATTTTAAGTAATGTTTTGCTCATTTTAGCTTGAGTTTTTGCTACAATCAGCTTTTATCTAGTTTTGTTACAATTAGCTTGTTTTTTTCTGTTTTGCCAATCTTTACTTAAAACTTTGGTTTTGTCGATTTTAGCATTTAGCTACTGTTTGCAACTTTTAGTCTCTGTTTTGGTTTTAGCTAATGTTTGTATTTGGTTACAGTTTAGCTATGGTTATGGAAATTATAACTTTTACCAGTAGTTTTGTGAATTTAAGCTCCTGATTTTACTATTTTAGCTTTCAGCTTCAGTTAATTTAGCTAGTTTTATTTAAAACTATTTGTTCAACTAATTTCATTTAACTTTTGCAAGAAAAATGCAAGTTCTCTGGTCTTTCTACGTTTTTAGAACAGTTATCATTATATTTTTGCACAAACAAATTAGGCCTTGCAGTATTTAGACTGAATGCTAACGCAAAACACAATGTGGTATTTCTGTTTATACCTCTCAGATCTATTCAGTATTTGTATGTCGTCAAATGTCACAATGTATCAGCTCCAAACATCTTTGTTTCCTCTCACTTTCTGTGCACTGATAGTAAAATAAATATTTTTGTTTCTGCAGAAAAGAAGAGAATCTAAGATGAGAGACGCCATCCTGTAAATAAACATTATGTACGTCATCATGCCTGGTCCTAGTCCTGAGAAAGACCCGAGGGTCAAACGGTGACTAAAGTAAAGTCTTTTTAAACGTGTCAGCAATATTAATAATAATAAACCCCAGAAATCTACAACAGAACAACTCGGTGTAAGAAATGAGTAGGAAGAAGCAAAACCTTATTACATCCTACTTTGAGGCTTTCAGATCAAAGAATCTTTGCGTTATAATTATGACATACCAATTAACCATTAAACTCTACATACATGTATCTACAAATAAGCGTTTTTAAATTTTTCAAAAGTTCAACAAGAAAAAATACTTAAGGAACTTGAGTGTGCAACACTTTTAGACTCATAAAAGTCCTTTTAAGTGCCACACTTTACAACAAAAACAAGAAAATTCACTCAACTGTTCACACATTTACAGATATCGCCAGATGTTTTTATCAAACCGGTGGGCTGGAAAAAACAACGTTTTAATTCACTGAGCTAACATAAACTTAATCGTAGATCATAAAATTGGCTTGTGTCAGTAAAAGGGAAAGGTTTAGTTAATTCCTTTAAGTACTTTACTATTTAAATATGTGAATGTGCACGTGATTGTTTAGATAAACTCTGAATCCCGTGAGAAGAAAAAGCTCGACAGGCATGCAGGCAGAAACAGAGGACGTCTGAAAAGAGCACACAATTTTCAGACAGCTGCTTTTATGTGTGATACTTAAAGTTTTTGTCACTTTGGCCCCAGAAAAAGAAGAACCCAGAGTTAAAAAAAAAAAAAAAACCGAGTTTGGATGTCATTCTCATACTCTTTTAATCAGACGTCCAATAGCGCTTCCTTCCCTCTTCTGCAAAATGTTTCAAAGTAACAAAAACAAAGGTCAGTTGGTGTTTGCTGTGGATGAGTACGACAAGGTTTCTGTAAAATGCGTCCGCCGCAGTTCTTCCCTCTGTGTGTTTGTGGACACAAACCTTGCTGCGAGCGTCAACGTTGAGCAGACAAACTCCACAAGCCAGCTCTTTGGGATTCTTGATGCCGGGCCTCAGAATACAGGAGGAGAAATCCAGGGAGCTTTCATCAGGCTACACACACAAATAAAACACACACACACAGGAGTTACCTCCAGCTGCAGGGAAAGACGTACCGGTAGTCATGTCTGTTATAAAAACAGCACTGCTTTCAAAAAACATCTCGCAGCGTCAACATTTTATATTTTATGTTGTCAGTTAAATTTTAATCTCCGTGGATGACGACAGACCTCGTCCTTTTTTACAAAACACTTGCAAACAAATAAATAAATCTATACCCCTCCTGTAATCTGAAAACTGGCCCACCAGGGAAACTCAGGAGAGCAGAATCAATGAATCATTGATTATATTTCAACAGAGCAACAACACTCTGTGTTAGAAACAGAATCTGTGACTCCAACATCCCGTCAGCAGGTGTAGTACATAAATCATGTTATCAGATTGATGTTTTTGACCGTCTTACTACGAGCTTGGCCAGCGACATGAAGCTGATGAGGTTGTTCCACACGCGGCTGATGTCCTTCAGCAGCTGCTGCAGCTTCTCTGAGCAAACCGCCGTCGCCTTGATGCCCAGCTCCACTCGCCTGGTGACACGGTACACCTCCACCACGCCTGACGGAGAAAACACAAAAAACAAGAAATAAAACACCACCTCCTTTCAAAGAGGTTTAGTGAACAGCTGGGGGTTTGTTATCTTTTTATTTAAAGGTTTAAATGTGATTTCAGAAAGTGACAGAACAGGTATGATATGATGCCAGTTAAGAAAAGAAAAGCTTAACTCTGATTCAAGTTTTTCTGTCTATGTGTAATTTGCAACATATGCTTTGTCCGTCTAATGTGGTAGTTGTTGCTGTTTGTGCAGATACATTTTTCAGAAAGGTTTAAACGAGACCAGTAGAGCAACACGGTCAGCTGTTCTGCTTTTTGTAATTTTTATTTTGGCTCTGTCTTTCGCCCACTCATGGTTTCACAGTTCAGGACCCTGAGGTGTTTCAGGCGTGTGGTTCCTCACCCAGCAGGTACTCCATGCCCTGAGCAGACTGGATGACCTCGGTGCAGACAGACGAGCTGCTGATCCCGTTCAGGGTGTTGTTCGCTTTGGTGATGACCTTAATGTGGAGAGACAGGGGCGAGCGTTACATCAAACATGCTCATTTTGTTCATCGTAATTATATTTAGCGCAAAACAGCTGGCCAGCATTTTGACTCAGCATTAACCTCTACAAGGTTTTGACACGTTTGGTTAAACTTATTTGGTTGCATTAAACAGGCCCTCACTTTTTCTCTTCTTTCTCTGAAAGTTGTTTTCATAATTTAACAGATACCTTAGATTCCAGAACAATTAAATAAAAAAATGATTAAATATTGAAGGAGTGGAAAAACAATAATTAATACAGGCAAAATGCAGAATTCAATAATAAATAGTCCACTGTTTCCTTGAAAACAACAAAATAAAACATGCAGGTATAAATACATTTGTCCCAACGTGTACGGGAGGTCCAGGCGGGAAAAACATTTTAATCCTTGTAATTATTCTACTCTATTAGTTTAAGAGTTTCACAACAAAACAAATGTTGCTATGAGACAAACAAACCTCCAGAGCACTTTCCAAACACCTCTGCCACTCGTATGCATAACGCTCACTTTCCTGCAACAACACAGATTATCTCACATGAGCACAAAAGCCAAACGCAAAAAATACTTTTTTCCAGCTTTACTAGTTCTGTGTATTAGTCTGTTATTGATTGCACCAACAGGCAGAGGATCTGCTCACCTCCACCTCCCCTGTCAGGTCTTTGTACTTGTCCCTGATGACGGGCAGGGTGGGCTTCTCGTTCAGGGTGTTGGATCGGTCCCTGAAAGGCTGCTCTGGAGCTGGAGACGGAGGAGAACGTCCGATCTCTTTCTCGCCCAAACTGTGGCTGCGTTTGTGGGAACCTGAAGTCGAGACGGGAGACAGGAGTGGGATGAATAATAACGGAGAAAACCTTGAAAACAAACAAATGTAGAAACTCAGAGTGATGAGTCAACATGCGCTATCCACATTTGTTTACACCAGCACACTGTCAGTGTTGATGTGACCAGTTCCTCCCAGACAAGTGCTGAATGAGTAAACGCTTCATTTCTGACAAACAATAATTAGGTATCCAATAATACACCGTTATGAATAATTCACAGGGAGTCAGAGAGACCATCCTGCCAAGAAACCACAACAAAAAACAGCCACAAACACAAGCCAACACTTGAGCGTGTGTGGCTCGTCCAGACAGGTAATCTACCTCTACCTCCTCCACCAGCTACAGGGGCATGTGTCGTTCTCCCCTGAACCACTCGCACAGCCCCGCTCTGATCAGATCACTGCTTCCCGGGACAAATTAAAACCAGCAGCAGTGAAACTGTGGGGCTTTTATCTTGATGCAGGAAGCTGCAATTAATTATTCGTGGAACATAACACCAGCAAACAGCAGTTAAAAGAATGAACGGCCTTAAAGTCGTTACGGTTCATTTCTGCTTATGGATTTGTTGGTTTCTGATAATCCATCTCAGCAGCTGCTGCCATTAGAGCGGGAGTGTCATGGCAACACCACCATCTAATGTCTGACAGCTCGATTACAGATCAGAAGAGGATAGTGAGAAGATGTGGAAAAACATACTAGAAGCCATTTAAGGGTCAAGGGCTTACATTAAGACAAGAGTCCACGTTTTAACCCTTATCCCTTTGGACCTAAGGATTTAAGGTTTTTCTCTTTTTGCCATCACTGGCTTCACAACTGATTTTTTTAAATATCCTGATGCATGCTCAATAATCCAGGTAGAAAAATCTAAAAAAGATAAATCTGGTCCTCTGGACATTCAAAAAACAAAACAAAACATCTAACATTTTTTATTTTGCTTTGCTTTGTTTTGTTTTTTGAATGTCCAGAGGACCAGATTTAACTTTTTTAGATGATTTTTTTAAAGACTACCAAAGTCAAAGAAAAGTCAAATAAATACCTAGAGGTAGGAGAATTAGGATGATAACTCACCTTGAACAGATAAGTCAAAGGTTGCGAGCTCGTTCTTGATCATCTCCTCGCTGGACTTGACTTTGGTCTGAGCGCTGGCTTTCAAAAAGTCCGACTTGCCAAATTTAGGCTTGTCCCCCTGGAAGGCACCAAACTCTTCTGAAGTCTCAGTTTGGGCTCCTTCAGATCCCGCCTCTGCAGTGACAGCAGGCAAGTTGGACTTTCCAGAAACGGTACTGGCAAAGTCTCCAAAATCGTCGCTGGCGCTGCCTCGGTCAGCGGAGCCGAAGTCGGCAAAGGCCTCGAACTTGTCTCCCGCAGACGAGCTCTTCTCTGTGGTTAGGGAGGTGGTGATCTTTGCCACAGAACTGTTTGGGATGTTTTCAGTGCTGCCGAAGCTAAGCTCCGTCTTCTGTGATGGGACTAAGGATGGAAAAGAAGCTCCTTCCAAGCCCTGTGACCTCCTGAGCTCATTCTGACTTTCCTCGCGCTCTGACCAGTCGTAGTTGGCCAGACTGCTGAGACCCGACGTTCCAAACGGATCAAATTTCATCTCGTCTCCTTCTGTAACGACAACACATACATACAGGTGGTTCCTGGGAATAGCACAGATGCTGTTGTGATAGGATGATGATCAACGAGCACGGGCTAATAATTTTACCAGTATAAAAGTGTCTGTGAGGCTTTAAGAATCCCAAGAGTCACTTCACCAGCACTATGAAACTCGTATATAGCTCTATTGAAATCAGATAATCTGAAATCAAAGATGTATTTATCTAATCCCGACTATTATCATCTTTACTTTTATTAATACCCGGTTCTTTCACAAATATTCCCTCTTTGACTAAATAACTGCTTACACTTAAGAAAGAAACTATGGATTTGCATTTTGGCGTTCAGGCTGATGTCATGTAATCAGGTTTATGAGAAGACGTAAGTTGTTTTTACAAATACAACAATTCTGAAAGGTTTGCAACAAGGTTTGCATCAGACACTCTCAAAAAGATTTTCCACGCCGCCTTGGTAAAATGTGCCGAGGATTACCAGGTGAGAGGAATTTTCCAAAGCATTTACTGAGATTGTGTACAGCTGTGAGTAAAAGTGGCTGTTATTCTCATTTCAGCTGTCCTTTGTGATGCTTTCCACTCGTCTGTCAATACTGTGAGTAGAGGGAAGTAAACTGTTTGGTTAGATGGATCGCATGCACGGAAGAGACTATATTGAGCTTAAATTGTCAAAAATGGATTTTGTTAGCAATAATCTGTGCCAACACTTTAAGTGGGTTAGCAGAGTAATTGCCATGATGCAGTTTGTCCCAATAGAGTTACCGTAGCTTCTTGTAATAGAAATATAGTGTAGTAGTAGTAATAGTGGAGATATAGGCAACTTTACCGGATTAGTTTAAAATTTTACAAGGATTTTGTCTAAATATGATGAACAAATATCTTATCTATGGGTCCCTTGAAGGAAATATCTGAAATATACTAAAGAATGTGCACTTTTCTGAGCAGTACCAACAACTACCAATGATTTCTAGCAGAAAAGTCTTACATTTTTTGCTACTTTCCCTGCATGCTAGTGAAGCTTTTTTTTATTTAAATTTCCAATATCCCAACAAGAAATCCCAACATTCAAGTATGGTTTAAACTTTCCTCTTTCAAATGACGAAAATAAATCCTCATTAAAATACGGTAAAAATAGGATTCACACCAATTATCCTGGGGTATTCCTGAGTAGCAAGACATACCAAGCCACACCTCTGGAACCCCTTACATCAAGATGATGTAGGTATCAAAATGTAGCTTAAAAAACAGGCATTTGAAAATGTGCTTAGCTCAGTTTGACCGAATATGACTTAATACCTGATTTGTTGTGATGAGTTAAGTATGTCTATAGCTAATAAAGTTATCATAACGTCTAATAATGCCTTTGAAGCATTTGATGTGTGTATAAATGTCCAGTTATAAACTCAATGCTAATTGTGTTAGCATTTAAATGGTGTTTTCAGTGTTGTGTCAACATCTGTCTTAACCGTTGTTCCCTGATTACAAAGCCCTCTACAACCTAGCTCCATATTCAATATCTTAATGTTCCGTATTTTTCTAACAGAGCACTTCGCTCTCAGACTGCAGGCTTACTTGTGGTTCCTAGAGTTTTCAAAAGCAGAATGGGAGGAAGATCTTTCAGTTATCAGGCTCCTCTCTTGTGGAACCAACTTCCAGTTTCTGTCCATGAGGCTGACACATTATCCAGTTTTAAGACTGGGCTTAAGATTTTCCTTTTTGATAAATCCTATAGTTAGGGTTGGCTTGGTATGCTGCTATAGGCTTACACTCCTGGAGGAAAAATTGACCTAATTTCCTTAAATGATTCGTTATAATTGAATAGTTTTCATTTGATACCATTTCTTTCTTAACATGTGATTCTTAGCCTGCCATTGTGTATCTGTTCCTCTAAAACCCAGCCGGTTGAAGCAGATGGACGCTTGTCCTGATCTGGTTCTGTTAAAGGTTTCTTCCTCATGAGGGAGTTTTTCCTTTCCACTGTTGCCTTTAAGCTTGCTCAGGATGAGAGTCTGCAATGAAGTCAGACTCAAAGCAGTCTGCTCCTCAGATAAATAATGTTATTAAGTTACTTTTTATATATATGAATGTTTCTGTTCAGTGTCCCGAGATGACTTCTGTTGTGACTTGGCGTTATATAAATAAACTGAATTGAATTGGTTAGATTTTTTTTCAACATGTTATTGAGCTGGGCAGCACGGTGGCGCAACTGGTAGAGCTGCTGCCTCTCAGCGAACAGGTTCCTGGTTCAAACCCCGGTCCAGGGGCCTTTCTGGGTGGAGTTTGGATGTTCTCTCCGTGCATGCGTGGGTTTTCTCCGGGTACTCCGGTTTCCTCCCACAGACCAAAAACATGCATGTTAGGCTGATTGGTAACTCTAAATTGTACCTAGGTGTGAGTGAGAGAGTGAATGGTTGTTTGTCTCGTTTGTCTCTATGTGGCCCTGTGATGGACTTGCGACCCGTCCAGGGTGTACCCCGCCCCTCGCACAGTGATTGCTGGACATGGGCACCAGCGACCCCCGTGACCCAAAATGGAATAAACGGGTAAAGATAATGGATGGATGGATGGATGTTATTGAGCTCTCTTTATTAGATATGACATTTTATATATCTGTGTCTATGAAAAATGAGCCAAAGCCAGTTCAGCTTTAAGATAATCAAATAGCATTAATCATTTTTTAAGCTCAGCACTATTGATTAAAATCAATTTGCTCAAGATTCCCACACCCAACGTGAAAACATTCAAAAGCATGTGGTTTTGATGTTAACAGAAGAACCATTCAAAGACGATCCTCATCTGTTCTTAACATGTTTAAAACATACTTTCTGCGTCGTGTCTCGCCTCCAATACAATCTGGACTTCCTCCAGTATTTCCAAGAGCTAAACTTCTTCAGAATGAGCTCCGGCTGTGAAAACCGTGAGCAGCAGAAGCTGCGGAAAAAAGTACGGACCAGATTTGTCCACGTTTCCCTTTAATGTCTTTATCTGTGGAAGCAGCTACAAAATTACTCCCACACCCGTCAAATATTTAGCACTTTAAAGATGCAGAAACTAATTTTGCATTTAGCTGATTTTTTTTTAAATCCCGACATTAATACCTACCCACTATGTTGGAGAAAGACATGCTCCCTCCTACACTGTGGAGAATTCTGTTTAATAAAATATCTCTTGTTATTTTACGGCCTGAGGTGGATTGTATTAATCCGACTGCTACATTAAAGCTGCTTTTTATCTTTTATTTGGCTGCATGATGATACTGGCTGTTTTTACTGACAAAGCTTTGCTGACAAAACTCATTTGCTTCCTTTAAATGGAATCGTCTCAACCTGGTCACTCTGACAGCATCAATAAAACCGCTCTCCTGTCACTACATGGGCTCTAGTCCTTACCGTAGTCATTGATAATTTACGTTATAGATATTATCTGACAGCTACACATTTAAGGATTCAGGTTTCCCCTCAACCTCAAAAAAACCACACAAATCCCACCTTCCAATTTTACGTGACAGACCCACAGACGCACACAAAAAAGCAATTTGTGAAATTGACAAGCATCTACTGCTGTAAGCTTTGCGTGATCAAACTACGTCAAGCCTCGTAAGGAAGCAAAGGGAAGAAGGAAAAAAAAGACGGTACGCATTTTAGCAATACTAATAGCAATGTTTATTACGACAACATCAGTAGAGAGAAAGAGAGAAAGTCACAAAGTACTGTGCAAGAGGTCTATCGTTACAAGAGGTTGATCAAACTAACACTTGTGAAATTAGTTTTCAGTCATTTACATTACAGGAGCATGCAAAGTCAGGAGAAAAAGGAAGAATAACAAACAGCAGGAAGGTAAACCAACATAACCCGAGTATAAAGAAGCAGAGAGAAGGCACATTCACATACTAGAACCAGAAGTTTGGGGAGAAATGACAAACTTGGACTAAGAAGTTAAGACACAGGTGTTTGTTTTTGTTGGAAAAGAACTGAATACAGAACACTTTGGGAAGTCCGGTAATTTAAAGAACATGAGAGGAAGCATTAACCCTTTGAGGACCTGATGGGAAAGACTGGCAGAGCTTTAAGGGAGGACGCCTCGGAGTATTTTTTAAAATAAACCATTTATGATCTGTGATAAATAAACAGATACATAAGAGGAGATTGTGGCGTCTGCATTTGCTTGTAAACATATATGATCTAGTTCAAGCGCTCAAAGGGTTGCAGAAAACAAAAAGGGCTATCTTGCACCTGACATTCCAGTGGGGGTCTTAATTACATCCAATCACAGATGCAGGAACAGCTTTAAAGAGACAGTATCCCATTTCCCTCGCTACAGAGGTGGTTTGTCAAAGCAGGATAATGCATGGGTTCCTAACCCTGGTCCTTGAGGAACACCATCCTGAATGTTTTAGTTGTTTCTCTGCTCCAACACACCTGATTCAGTGGTTTAATTTCTTCCTTAAGTCTGGCAGAAGCCTGTTAATCATCTTTCATTCAAACCAGGTGTGTTGGAGCAGAGGAACAACTAAAACATGCAGGATGGTGTTCCTCAGGGAACAGGGCTGAAAACCACTGTGCTAATGAACAAATTCCTACGATCTCTTAAACAAAAGTAATACATTTTGATTCACATTAACCTAAAATATCTTACTAAATACTGTAAGTTACTTTTAATCTACATAGCTGTCAATCACAATGAGACCAAAGAGTCTTTCTAGCCACAAAATAAAATAATTCATATCCTTGTAATAAAAATACACTATTAAATCTGTATGTATACATTTCTTCCTTAGATAAAAACAACTTGCAATACTTTGATGCATAAAATGCTTATTCTGTATTGTGTTCTTGTCAATTTCACAAATTGGAAAAAAGCAGGCACACTGCAGGAAATGGCAAGGCAGGAAGGGTAATACGAACATCGTTATGTTCTCGGAGAGCAGGAGCGTACAGCCACACGTCAGAAACTTACGCTGCCGTGTCACAAAACAGGTAAAAGCTCTGATTCCTTTTGTGAGTCAAAAGGAACCTCACAAAAATACTGACTCTTTGAGATTACAAACATTTCTTGAAACACAGTGGAAAGCACGGCGAGGTGCTCACTTTTCTTGGCCTGCTACATTTAACAACAGGTTCGTGCCAAAGCTCTCCCAGAACAGAAAGAGTAGATAAAAAGAAGTGGAAACACTGTTTTCTGTAGCATGTTTGATTAAAGTAGAGACTTTAAATCAGCCATCTTTGTCTAATCAGCTGCTTAATAGATTCAAAAATCATTTTTTACTCTCAGTGCAAAAGAGCTTGACTAAAATGAGGCAATGAGGATGTTAATATTTTAATTTCTATCAAGTTAAATCTAAATTCCTCAAGTAAAATAATTTGAATTGCATGAATGCTGTCAGGTGAAGACAAACTCTCAGCTTGTAAAAAAAAAAAAAACTTTTGCCAGGATTTTCAGATTAAAAGCAAACATCACAAATGTTTAAACTACAAATTATTCACCTGAAAACAATCACCTGCTGGGTCGTTTTACGTTACAAATGATGTAATGCAATGAAACATGAGCCATGATGTGGAGGTGAGATGCTTGATGAATAAATAATTAGGTTTTGAGGAGGGAAGGAAGTGCTGACATGTAAATTACCTGATTTTTAAGACTGAGCTAATTTCATTTTATTAAACAGGCTTTAACTCCATGTTCATTAAAACACGAGGATGAGAAGAAAAAGGAAACGGCCCACACCAAATCTCATATTAGTCTTGTTAGATCCAAAATCACTGCACAGCTGGACTGAGAATACTGCAGAGTAAGACCATTACTTTGATAGACACAAAGAGAAACACATGCACTCACATTCAAGTGCTCACGTCTGAAATTTAAATTGCATCCAGCAATCTTATAAGTCATTTCCCCCGGGTCATGCATGCCAAATTCATTTCCAGCTAATCAAAATGATATTTTCTGGTGCGCCACAACGGCTAAAAGATGCCTTTCAGGTGTTGCTTTGGGGAATTTGTGAGTTTCTTTGTGCAAAAGCATGAATCATCAGAGCGAACGCCCTCCTGCACTCAACTGCATTCAACCGAACCGCCTGTTAACGGCACGACAGCAACACGCACATAAACGGTACTCTGTGGTGTGAGCGTCTGTTGTTGCAGCACGGACACGACAAACGGGAGACTCGTCAGAGGTCGGACACGCAGCGGCCGCTGACCTCGTCTGTAAACATCGACTGAATACACCAGCAGTGGGTGCTCATCATTCTAACAACGTATCAGGGAGCGGAGGGTAAACACTAAAAGGAAGAGAGGGAGTAACTGTGTAAATAAATAAATAAATAAATAAGAGATGAGTGATGAAATGTAAGATGAAGCTCCTAATCTGATGTTTTAGGTGTTTTATCTTTAAAATTTGAGCATATTTGATTTGATGAGGACCACATTTCTTGCTCCTTGATCTTTAGTTTAGTGTTTTTTTACTGTAAGCGTCTCCACAGAGGAGAAGAGGCTGGCTGGTTGGCCTCGAAAACAATACTGAGTGCGAATGGACTGTAAAGAGCCTCACCAGAGCAAACGCACTAGTTCCTCACCTGTAGCTGGGGGCTGGTGGGCCGAGAGGCCTGGCAAATCCAGAGAGCTGTCTGACATCACATGCTTCAGTTCTCCTCCCATGTCCGACAGCTTCATGTCCAGCTGCACCGAGAGCGCATCCTCGGAGTCGTCCTTCCCCACGCTGCTCCCGCCGATGGACGGGAGGTCGAGGGACTTGACGGAGGCGGAGTCTTCCTTGCCGTGTTTGAAAGCGGCCACCTTGTCCACCAAAGTCTTTTCTGAAGCACCGAGTGCCGTGCAGAATTTTGACGAATGAAAGTCAGCAAAGTCATCCGTGTCACTCTTGAGGGAAGAGAAGGAGCCGCCACCGCTCTCCTTTGTGTCGTCGTAGGAAAGGCCTCCTTCCAGAGACAGTTGTTTGAACACATCGTACTTGTCAGAGCTCTGCTGAGGCTGTTTTGTGGAGGTCTCCGATTGGACCCCCGTGCTGTTCTCGCCTTTTGGCTCTCCACTAGAACTGCCAAACGCCATAAAGTCTGCAAAGTCATCCTGAGGTGCTGCAGCTCCTCCTGGTGCTGAAGCTTGAGTGGTGTCAGAAGAAGAGCCAAAGAGGGCAAAGTCACCAAAATCATCTGTGCCTCCTCCTGGAAGTTTGGCCCCACCAGGCAGGAGCACTAAAGACGGGGGCACAGATACAGAGGGGAATGTGTTGGGTTTCGCCTCAGTGGGGGCAGGAACGGAGGGAGCCATGGAGGAGAAAAGGTCCAGGTCGGCCATGTTGAGGGGATTTTGGGGGATTTTCTGAGAAACAGACACTGCTGGCTGCTGCTGTGAAAGTTGTAGAGTCTGAGAGTTTGGGAAAGCAGAGGGAAAGGCAGGTTGAAAGATCTTGGCCTGATCGGACGGCTCTAGTGGAGAGACGCTGTCGGCGGTTTTAAAGTCTGTGAAGCCGTCATCGGTGCTGATAGACTTGAAATCTGCAAATCCCTCCCCTGGAAACCAAACAATTTAGGATGAGTAAAAGACAGAAAGTCAAAACAATCTCAGCTGTAACTATTGAGTTTAATATCCTGTAAGGAGTGAGCTGATGAATGCTTTGGTTCCACTGAGAAAAATAAACATCTTGTGATGAACGGTGAGCTTGAAAGTGACCAGAGAGCACACTTCACTGCACAAACAAGCTTGGATATATAGACACACATTCTACAAGTGGTATTTCGCTGGGCTGCAACTGTTGGAGACTAAATTTCAAACATTTTCAGAGGCAGTCTCGCAGAATTCTGAGCATTTGTGACCAGGAGGCCAGTGAGCCGTGCAGCCACGTTTTGCTTTGACAGTTTTTGAATATCACGATTTATTTTTGCATGGCTTTCAAACATTTGTACGTTTTGCTGACCACCCTTGCCCACATCATACCCACCATGACCCACTACAGCGGTTTTTTGATTGTGGGGTGTAGCGCAACTCGCCTCACCTTAATTCAATTCTACATGGGCTGCAATTTTTCCATACAAATGAGTACTACCACGATGTGGGTGGGATCATTGTGGCAAGGCTGCTACATCCTCCAATGTCGAGATACAATTGAGGACATTGAGATGATGGTACACATTGTGTTCAGTCTATTGTTAGCCGAGGTAAAAGGGAGTCAAAGAAGGATTACAAGCCTTACAAAATGGCAGTTCTGAAGCGCTCGCTGGCATGACTCTTCCAATGACGTGGAGCATGTACAATCAATGACCTGCAGTCAGCTGGTGTTAAATCATCAGTTCGGTGCAGCTCCCATGTCACCTCAGCCATGTAGGTCCTAAGAACCAAGCTGGAGCAGGTAGGATCACCAAATGGATATCCTCTGAGCAAGACTAGGGTTGTCCAGAATAGGGCCAAGTCCAGCTCATGGGAAAAGAGCCTTTTGGTGCTTTGCCACTGTCAACTCTCATTGGTTCTGGAGATGCACCGATCCGATACCAGTATCGGTCCCGATATCAAAAAAAAAAATTTCTGTTCGGGTATCATGACAATGTGACCGATCCATGACTGGTCAGATCTATTCACTCTAATTCTATGCTTTGTGCTCTGAGTGATGTCATAATTGTACTGACTGAAAAAATTAAAGTTGTGTTGTTTTTACATGTTTGGCCAAGCTTGTGAAGCTCTTGGTGTGTTTATGTGCGCTGTTCTGGTGCAGAGTTTTCAATGAAATTTGTAATACAGTACATTCATGTCAGCACTGGGTTTATAAGCTCAATCATCCAGGACGACAACAACAAAAATGGCTTAAATCAAGTCATCTGGACCCGTTTCAGAAACGGGTCCAGATGACTTGATTTAAGCCATTTTATTAATTCAGCACAGTTTTTTCTGTATAGGATCGGTATTGGCCGACACGAAAACGCAGGTATCAGTATCAGAAGTGAAAAAAGTGGATCGGTGCATCCCTAATTGGTTCTGCACCCCACCGCACCAGTAAAGGGCCTGCCCACTGCCAGTACCCACCCCCACTTAGCCCGGTTTATGGGACCACCTTGTTTGTGGTTCCAAGCAGACTGCTTCGGGGTGATGATTTTGACGTAAGCAGACAGCAGCCATTGATTGGCCAGTGGAGCTAGCAAAACGGCAAACTACATCTGAACCTCCATTTGTTCTCTGATCGTGTTGAGTGTCTTGGTTTTGCTAGTTTCTAGTATGGGAGCTCCAAAAATAGTGCTGTGGACCGATGATGAAATACAGACCTTCCTAACTTTATTGGCTGGTGTTAAGATTCAGCGGGAGCTGGACGGCACCACAAGAAATGAGTGCATTTTCAGAGCGATATCAAAGATGATATCAGAGATGATGATGATGCTGCATGGCTACACCTGGACTTATAGCAATGCCAGGATGAGCTAAAGGAATTGAAGTTTGATAATAAGGCGATTAAAGACCACAACAAGTGGAGTGGCTCCAACACAGTGACCTGTTACAATCCCACCCACAGAGCAGGAAAACAAGTCACAGTGGCAAATCATTTTCACATGAGAAGAACCAATAAGACGAGAGCTGAGTGGAATTGCACTTATCCATGGCAAAGTGGCTTTTGTGCCCACCTCAGCAGCTGCAACCACATTGGATGATTTTACTGGAGTACTCCTTTAAAATGAAGATAGGTGGATTTGGACAATTTTTATATAAAATAATCGTTATCAGTAGTGTGCATTTTACACCTTAACATGTTTTCTGTCAGAGAGCTCCCTGCAGGTGTCAAAATACAGCTCTTGAGCTCTTGGTGACACCTACAACAAAATCAAGAAGGGTTCCAAAAGAGTTTAAGACACCAGCAACGATTCAGAGAAAACTTGAGGGAAAATTCCTTGACCTTCTGGAACACCAAGGTGGGAATTCAGAATCCCTGCAAATGTTGCAAGATTTTCTAGAGACTGCTTTGTGAATGCTGTTTGCCAACTAGCAGCCCAGTGAGATAATATCTCACATCTACACTACCATGCAGTGAACAGTTGAAAAACCTCAAACAAAGCATGTCCAACTTTTATTAATTTCTTTGTCTAATGAGCTGAAATGAACACAAACACTATTTGTTAAAAACTTTTGCATTGTTCTGTTACAAAACTAGGCGACCTTACTTTAGTATGAGCCAGTTAAAACCCAAAAAGTACTAAGCTTCAGCTGCTGTTAATCCATTGTGGTTTAATATATGCACAGAGTGAAATAGAGAATCTGTTCACGCTGCTGGTGTGTGGTGGAAGAGAGATAACTAATAGGCTCATTAGAGAAGATGGAGCCTGACAATGCCAAAGAAAGGTCACTGCAAAGCACGACTTACTGGAGTTGTAGGAGCAGCCCACATCAGAATCTGTTCTAATGGAACATGGACGGTAAATACACCTGGATCAACACCGCTCACTCGCAAAACAAGGAACAGTGTAAACACGGCCTAACAGCAACGTGGTGACATGACAGATTTATTTAAGTTTTCACAAAGAGTTGAATTAAAGCAAATCTAAGCCTGACTCCACTTGTGTCACTAAATCTATCTCAAACTAGACTTCCGTCTCTTAATGTGAAGCCAAAAGAGGAACATCTTTAAGTTCACCGTTTCTACTTCAGCTGCCAAAACAAAATATTTTTGATACAGAACGATCAAAATGATCAAGAAAGAAAATGTGAGTTTCTTACCGACTGGTTTCTTGTCAGCAGGTCGTTCCAGTTGTCTGAATACACTGTATTTATCTCCAACATCTGGACCAGGACAAAAAAAAAAAAACAAAAAAAAAAACCAGAATAACAAGGTAATGTAGTCTGCTATGTTAAACCAGAACTAATTGTTAATTAGAATATAAAAAAGATTAGGCTGATTAAACATTTCCATTAAACTGACATCATTAAAGCTAATTGGGTCTATGCATCACAATTTATTACCTGTCCCGTTTTCAACATCTGAAGTTAGTAACTGCCGTCTATAAATACCTCTGTTTTAGGACCTGGCTGGACTTTCTAAAGGACAGACAATGCTGGGAGAACTAGATCCAACATGGGCTGCAGACATTACCTGAGGCAGGCGTGGGCTCTGCAGGCTGATCCACAGACAGCTGCTTGAACACAGCGTACTTATCGGTGGACGAGGAAGAGGAGGAACCAGACACTGGAGTCAGCATGGCAGGTGTGCTGCATGGACAGAAAAGCTATGATCACATCTTCTGACAAATCAAGTCCAATAATAGAAGCTAATTACTGTCCCAGCAGAAGTATTTAGAGAGCAACAGCTTATGTTCTTAGGCTGAAGTGTGCACTTAACAGGAAAACTGTCAAAACAAATACACCTTCCAGGACAACGAAAACATTTTTTACAGAAGACTTTAATGCAAATGTTGTCATAATAATTAGTTACCACTAATACAAGCTCGTTTTTAAACTACGAAACAGAAGTAAACTTATCTAAGTTGTCTTTCTGCAGATAATTGTAGTTCAGCGTTGTATCACTGAAAGAACAGTCTCAGTAAAAACTCGGAAAGCAATTTGAAGAAATGAGCATCTCTGCTGCCCACCTAAATTAATTCATTATGAAATTACCCGAGTTAATTTCTTTTCATCCATCATCTTTGCCCGCTTCTCTGTTGCCTATCTCCAGCTATCACTGTGTGAGAGGCGGTGGCCCTGGACATGCCTATTTTTTAAGGCTGGCCGCTCATACCAACGCAGTACCAGTGTCTCACATCTTTAATCTCTCCATAAGCCAAAACTCCATTCCAGACGCTTGGAAAACAGCCTTTGTTCTTCCTTTGCTGAAGGGAAGTGACCCCACCTCACTGAACAACTATCGGCCAATCTCTAAACTCTGCATTTTAGCCAAGGTTCTAGAAAAACTGATATTCAACACTCAAATCAAAAAGTATCTGGACTCATTTAACATTTTACCTCCACATCAATCTGGTTTCAGGAAACAACACAGCACAACGACTGCTTCACTGAAGGTTTTTAATGACGTTGTTGAAGCAACGGATGCTAAGGATTATTGTGCTGCACTTTTCTTAGACCTGACTAAATCTTTTGACACAGTGAATCAGAACATCTTGTGTCATAAACTCTCAGAAATTGGTTTCTCAGATCACACCATTGGTTGGTTCTCTAACTATCTTTCAGATCGGAGGCAATGTGCTCAATATAATGGTATTTCCTCCAGTTACTTAACGGTTAACAATGGTGTACCACAAGGCTCCGTCTTAGGACCCACCCTCTTTGCAATCTACATAGGTAATGTAGGTCAAAACATCCCTGATGCATCCTTACACTTCTATGCTTATGACACAGTTGTTTACTGTCCAGCATAAACAGTTGCTAAGGTTTTCCAGCTTTTGCAATCCGCATTCCACATCATCCAGTCAGATTTGTTCCGTCCCAAACTTGTCCTAAATGCTGACAAAACCAAAGGGTTGCTTTTTCAAACGGGAAGCCGGTCCCAGCAGTCCTTCCTCTGATTTTATCCTTTAATGGTGTCCATATTGAGTTTGTTGATTCCTATAAATATTTGGGTATGTTGGTCGACTCGCATCTATCTTGTAAGCTTCACGTGGAAAACCTAGTAAGGAAACTGAAAGTTAAACTAGGTTTCTTTTTCAGAAACAGATCCTATCTAACTCTGAATGCTAGGAAATGCCTTATAACTGCGATTTTCCTTTCCTCCATCGACTACGGTGACATTATTTATATGAACGCTTCTACAAGCACCCTGCAGATGATGGATGCTGTCTATCATGGTGCGCTAAGATTCATTACTGGCTGTAACTACCACACCCACCACTGCACCCTGTATTCACTGGTTAACTGGACATCATTAACTTCACGCAGACTCTCTCACTGGTACATTTTCATCTTTAAATCACTTCTTGGCCTGCTGCCTTCATACATCTCCTCCTACATGTTTCTGCGTGAGTGCAGCTACAGCGTGCACTCTCAGGACATTATTACCTGCAGTGTCCTCTCAGTGCAGACTGAACTAGGCAAAAGGGTTTTCTCCTACTCCGCTCCTGTTTCCTGGAACATCTTGCAAAAAGATTTGAAGCTCTCGACCTTGACCTCTCTAAGTGACTTTAAACATCTGTTAAGTTCCTGGCAAGAACCAATGCAGACACGTTCCTGTTTTTAGTTTCTACATTGCCTTGTAATCTAGCTGTTTTTTTCGCTACGTTCCCTTTTAATTATCATTTTGTTTTCAATTGTTAAAAAAAAATAAAAAAATTGTAGGCATCATTTGTGAATGTCTATTGTTGTCATTATCCACTGTTGTCATCACTGTTTGTTAAAATTCAAGTCTCTCTTGTAAATGAGTCCTTGTGGCTCAATTAATAACCTACTAACCTGTTTAAATAAAGGTTGAATGAAAAATAAATCATAGGGACACAGAGACAAATGAGACAACCATTCATTCTCTCACTCACACCTAGGGGCAATTTAAAGTTACCAATCAGCATAACATGCATGTTTTTGGTCTGTGGGAGGAAACCAGAGTACCTGGAGAAAACCCACACATGCACAGAGAGAACATGCAAACTCCACCCAGAAAGGCCGGGATATGACTGGCCATAGTAGACGAGGGTCTGTACGTCCTTCTTTTGTCCACTATGGCCAGTCATACCAAGAGGTGAACCTGCGACCTTCTTGTTGTGAGGCGACAGCTCTAACCACTGCATTCACTGCTGTTGATAGGTTATTGCAAGAAATTAAGACTATTTTTATGCAGAATACTTCTGCTACAATTACCATCGGGTGAATATTAAATGCTCCTTCTGCAAACATTCACATCAGTTTTTGTATATGATTGGAATGCAAAATGTTATTAATATTAGGACATCTCAGAATGAAGTTTACCGTTGTATTGTGTCAAACCCAACATATTTTAAAGGCATTAGATTAATTAAAACTAAGTATTACTTAGTTAAAACTAATCAGACTAAACATAAGTTGATGCACTCAGTACCTGTTTTGGTGCACACTGCTACTGGGAAAACCTCCTCCAGACTCCTGAAAATCTGTGAAGGCTTGGTCTCCCGTTCCTGCTTTTGGAGCCTCCTGGAAGTCCTGGAATTCATCATCCTCGATTTTGGTCGCCTATGTGAACACTTTGTGAGTTAGCAAATGCACTACAAATATAAGAAAAAGGAAAAAAAAAAAGGTTGCATGGATTACCTGTGCAGGTGGGAAAGAAGCAATGAAATTTGTGTTAGCAGCTGGTTGTGCAGGTGCGGTGGGTGCCATAGCCATGACCGGAGCTGCTATGGACATGGAGACTGGGGGCTGGGTCATTATGGGCTGCTGGTGCTGGGGCATGACGGGGGCCATGGCCAATGACAAGGCTGGCAGGTTGGGCACAGGTGGAGAGGGAAACTGACTGAGGATTTCCACATTCATGGCTGGGAGGCCACTCTGAAAGCAAAGATGACTGATGAAACAAAAAATAACTGTCTAATGATTACACAGCTAATCTACTTTAAAACTGTGATGTTGCATTAAAACACAATAATTAGACAAATTTTATATCCGTGCCCTGCTACAGGAAAAAAATTCTTCAGTTTATGCTTTTTGTTCTTTTTTGTTGTTTTGGAGTTTTCTCATCGTTTGCCTCTTTATTCTTTACACATTTTATCGTCAGATTTTGTCTATGTTGTGCAACAATCTACTACCAAAAGTCATACTACACAATTCCCAATGTAGGTGAACATTATGTGCATAACTTTAATGCTTTCTTTAAAAGCTGCTCGACGAGCTCCGAAACAAACACTGGACTGGCAGCCTTAATGAATAACAGAGTGAATCACAGTCAAAGTGAAGAGGTGAAAATGGACTCAGGCGATATTAACACACGTCTTGAAAATGTATTTTTATTAATTTACAGTTTCAAAATTATTCGTTTCAAAAATATAAGTTGTTTGTCACTTTAGAGATCTGGGCGCAGTGGATGAAATCAGCTACGATTTAAAGAATCATGTTTGGATACATTTATTCACCGGGGTTCTTTGAACTGATTTCTCCTGCAGACTCATGAATGCAAACGTACCGTTTGTATTTTAAGGCTCTAAAAGATTTACATCAACAAAGGTGTCTTATTATTCCTAGAATGGAAGCAGTGGCACGCTGTGTTTCGTGAGCTGCCTGCAGATTTGCATACCCCCTGGGGGATTGAGGGGGGGGGTGATGGTGACAGACTTGGGCTGAAGATGATAAGAAGCCTCCTGTCAAACTGATCCGACGGGGACTTGGCCAAATACTGGGCTCACAATTCTTCAGAGGCTGTGGGCTTTTTCAGTTTCCCTGAGCCCCAATGATTTCAGCGAGGAACTGATGGCGTGTGAGTGGAAGCTGATGAGGAAGATTAGTGAAGTCGTTCCAAGTGGATAATTTGTTTTGACGGCGGTGTTTACCTGCGCCACGCCAATTAGTGCCAGCACAGTGTACAGCTCCTCCTTGGTCAGCATGCCAGGCGTTGTGCGGTTGGCTGACGCCCAGATTTGCCCCAGTGCTTCTCTGGGAAGGCCCGATGACATTAATATTGGGTAGAGCTTGGCTGTGTCTATCCCTGCTGGAGTCATCGTGAACTCAAGAACCTTCTTAAACATGTCTGAAGAAAAATAAATAATATATATCCGGTCATAGAGCTTTTTAAAATGCATCAGATTTGATCTGAGTCATTGTCAGAATTATTTTTTTTACCGGGGACGAGGCTGTCGTTGTAAATCCAGGATGGCAGCAAGGACTGGATGTGCTCTTGTTGTGGGTACACTGCAACGCCGCCTGTCACACACACACACATATACACACACACGCAGACAGTTAACTGTTACGACTCAAGTCGTGTCCGAGCTGTTTGGCAGCCGAGCCCCGCTTGTATCGAACTCAACAAAAACCACACACTTGATGTCTGGAGGGCTCGCTCTCCTGCGCTGAATCACAAGAATCCTGCCACATCGGAGAATAAATCAGTCTGTCACTTCCAGCTTCAAGCAGAGACTGGCTCATAAGACAAAAAAAATCTAATTTAACTACTCAGAGCGTCTCAAAAATGTATTTTCTTAACATATACCGACAAAACGTCTTTTGTAAAATAGCTCGGTTCATTTTAAGACCTTGTATTTATTCAAGCAGTCACTTGCCACATAATAATCCAATCAGTCCTGGGCAGTTTAATGAATCTTAGAACAAATCTCCCTGCATGATGAGCACCTTTTCCTTGATGACACAGATACGGGAAAACAAATAACAGCACAAAGGAGTTGCAGAGTAGCATGCACAATCAGCCTTGAATTATGTTTGCCCGGCGGCATCTGCCAATCCATGCGCATCCCTGTTAAACCAAAGCAGTAGGCATGCGCTAGAAGTCGTCGTCTGGGTGGTTATTAACAGAGAAAACGTAGAGGCGGCGTATTAGACAACAGGTATCACCGAGGACTGTTTGTTTCCACAATGTGAGGAGAGGACACCGACAGAAGAAATAAAAATGTCAAAATATGAACAGAAAGGTGGAAAAATGTTTACAGCGATCTCTGTAAGAGTCACTGCGATGACAAATATGTCAGTTTGATTTCATTAAAATGCATAAAAGCATGAAGTCTAGTAGAAAAATCAGATTTTATGAGCAAAGAAGGAAAGAGCTGTCCAAGTTAGAAAGGAAACGTTTCCCCAGGGGAGCAAGAACACCTCGATTCTGTGTTAAGTCTACGGCAAAGCGAGGGGAGTGAAGCGGCAGCTATGGAGTCCAATAAACAGGCACGTCTCTCACCACTGTCACCAGACAGGCCCGCGGCTGACGGGGGGAGGCAGGGTGCAGACACCGGGGCTTCTCGCAGGTTTTCTGTGACAAAGGCAGAACTCAAGTCCTCGGGGGCTGCAGCCCAGTTCCTGGCTTTAGGGCTGGCATGAAACTGGGATGAAACTTTAGTCCCGGGAGTCATTTGAGCCAAACTTTGCTTGGATTTAAAGCTAACATGAGCCGTTTTATCAGCGGTAAGATCGCACGAGGAGAACAGCTTCTCTTCCAGGGACGGGCCTAGAGGGGCGAACCAAGAACAAACTTGTTTTAACAGAGACCAACACTTGGAACGTTATACGCTTCTGCTTTCCAGGAGCTTCAGTAAGCTGAAGTTAAAATAAAGAACAAGATGTCTGTAAGAACTATTTTGTCAAAAGAAATTCCCAAAAATAAAAATTCAGCTTTTAGAACACAAATATAAATCTACCTAACAAATTTATTATGTGAGAGTTTATGAAGTATCCACATTATTGTGATCCATTTTTCTTCCATACGTTTTTTGGCATCGTTCTTGTTCCACAAGTTTTGTGCTATTTCAACAAATCATAAATCAAAATGTTCAGCTCATTCAGGACGATCCTGATGTGACTTTTGGTATTGGTGCAACTTCAGCTTATTTTTTTAATATTTAGCCTTTTCTGACATTTTTTCCTCATAGAAAATGCATTGAGCTCATTTTCCATCCTTCAGATCTTTAGATGTGTTTACAACCCCTTTCACATTTTGTTCTGCTTCAGCTTCTTTCAGCTTCCTTGTGCAACTTTAAACATTTTTCAGCTACTTTCTGCAAATTTCAGCTGTTTTTTTCAGCTGTTTTGTGCTCCTTTCATATTATTCTGCTAATTACAAAATGTTGTGCTTCTACATTCTTTCTGCTAATTGCAGCTTGGTTCAGCTTATTTCTGCAAGTTTCAGCGTTACTATTTCAGCTACTATTTAGCTGTTTGGTGCCAATTTTAGCTTTTGCAGCTAATTTGACCTTTTTGCAATCATTTCAACTTTTTTCAGCCTAATTCAGCAAAAATGTGCTCTCTCTACTTCCTTGTGGTAATTTAAGTTTCTGCTTTTTTTTTAGCTACTTTTCAGCTGATTTTGGCTAATTTCAGCTTTGTTCAGATAATTTCCACTTGTGCTCATTTCTACTTCTTTCAGCCTAATTAGACAAACATTTTCTTTCTCCTGCTAATTTAAGCTTGTTCTATCTTTTCAGCTAGTTTGTAGCATTTTAAGCTAATTTCAGCCGTTTTCAGATAAATTCAAGTTTTTCGTGGTAATTTCTGCTTCTTTCAGCCTAATGAACTTCTTTCTGCCAATGTCAGTTTGTTATGCTCCTTTCAGCTTATTTCTGCTATTTCAGCTATTATTTAGCTCTTTTGTGCTATATTTAGCTTTTTCAGCTAATTCAGCATTTTTTAAGCTTATTTCAGCTCCTTCAATTGCATTCTGGTAATTTAAGCTTCTTTCTGCCTTTTCAGCAATTTTTTAAAACTAATTTCAGCTTCATCTTTTTTTTTTTAGCTCATTTCTGCTTTTTTGTGCTATTTTCTGCTTATTTAAATCTAATTCAGCAAAGCACTTTGGTGTTGTTTTAAAGAGTTTTATAAATAAAGTTGTATTATTGTAAATATGTGTTCTTTCTGCTTTCTTCTGCTAACTTAGGCTTGTTCTTCCATTTCTGCTACACTTTCAGCATGTTTTAGCTAATTTCAGCTGTTTTATTAACAAGTCCTTCAGCAATAAGCATTCACACTGAATTTTTGCAGGAAATGCAATTTCTCTAGTTTAATTTGTATTTTGAATTATTTTTAAAAAGTCGAATAATTTACTTTTGAACTTTTAGAGAACTACACAAAATTTATGCATAAGAAGGGGCAGCTGAACGAATGTCACAAAGTAAATAAGTTTCCTGATTATATAAGGTTTATTTCTATTTTAAACTTACTCCCCTACCCCCAGGTTATATTCTACATTTGTACTTATTGTAAGTATAGTTCTGTTAATCTAAACAAATAAATTTGGTAATTTGCATTTTCAGTAATTTGATTTTTGTACCCATCTGAGGAATTCACTCTGTACAAAAATATATTTTGGCTTGTCTTTTCACATTGTGATAGTAAATAGTACTTTGTGAGTTTTGATGGATTTTGTATGGTTATCACTTGATCATTATTAAATCATTTACCTAAATGTTTCTTCAGTGAGAGACTTTTAATAGACAAACTCTATTGTTCAAACTTTTTAACCTGACGGAGCTCGAGCTGGGATCGAAACGTTATCAGATAAATCAGTGTTGTGGTCAGGAACGAGTGTGCAGGCTTTCTTCCTTACTCATCTTTTTTAATAAATGTCTGCACTCAGTAAAAACATGCATTCTCTTGTGTTTTAGACCATTTCATGGACTTTGCTGGCTCCACAAACAATTTAATTCAGCCACATTATTCATGCTTCATGCAGTTTTGATCCTAAAAATAAATACAAGAAGATGAAAATATACACAGTTAAGAGCTGCAATCCATCCATTCACAATGTAAAACTAAATCTCTACAGCAGGTTAGAAAAGTCTCTGGAATCTGGAGATTAAAGTGAACAGAAAGTTCAGTCTCTTTTCTCTGGACAGAAGGGATCTCTCTGTCCTGTCATTCATGGCACATAAACTGCAGCTGCTCACCACAGAAATGACTAATGAGACACGACAGCTCCAGCCTTCAATCAGTGCACCGTTTAACTGCTGAAGGATGAAGCTACGACGTGGGTATAACCTACAGAGAATCATTCTTTCTATTGATGAAGCAGGGAGGGTTTAATGTACTCAGCATACTTATTGTGTGAATACTTGTTAAGCATTCACACTATTGTGATCCTGTTGATAGTTTTCTTATAGTTACTATCCCTATTCCATACGTTTTTTGGAATCTATCTCGTCCTGCAGTTTTAAACTACTTCGACAAATCATAAATCAAAATGTTCAGTTCTTTCAGGATAAGGGTGCAATGACTTTTGGTATTGGCACAACTTTAGCTTTTTTAAATATTTAGCCTTTTCTGCATTTCCCCCCAATACAAAATGAATTGGGCTCATTTTACATCCTTCAAATCTTTAAATCTGTTTACAACCTTTTACTGCTCCTTTCACATTTTGTTCTGGTTCAGCTTCTTTCAGCTTCTTTGTGCAAATTTAAACTTTTTATAAGCTACTGGTACTTTCAGCTAATTTCAGCAGTTTTTTCAGCTGTTACATTTTTGTGCTTCTTCCAACTTCTTTCTGTTCATTTCACCTCGTTGTGCTCCTTTCAGCTTATTTCTGCAAGGTTCAGCTTTTTCTTCAATTTCAGCTACTATTTAGCTGTTTTTATGCTAATTTTAGCTTTTTCAGGTAAGTCCACATTTATTGCACTTGTTTGAACTTTTTACTGCCTAAATCAGCAAAAATGTGCTCTCTCTACTTCCTTCTGGTAATTTAAGCTTCTTTCTGCTGTTTCTGCTACTTTTTCAGCCATTTGTTGCTAATTTCAGCTTTTTTAGCTAAGTTACTAATTTTTGTGCTCATTTCTGCTTAATTAAACCAAATTCAGCAAACATGTTTTCTTTTTGCTTTATTCTGCTCACTTAGGCTTGTTCTTCCATTGCAGCCACATTTCAGCATGTTTTAGCTAATTTCAACTGTTTTTCAGCAACAAGCATTCACACTGTATTTTCACAGGAAATGCAATTTGTCTAGTTTAAATAATGTTCAATGTTTGGCAGCTTTAAAAGGTTTTTGATACCATCAGTGGTGCAGGCTACAAGCTCTCACTCCATTTGTAGGTCAGAACAAAAAAATAAATAAACAGGGCTACGTGGATTTAGCAGCTGGGTGTACGTTACAGGGTGGGGAGGGGAAGAGTCGACAAAGAGGAAGAAGAGTTACCTTGAAACGTAGGCTGTGAGCTGATGACAGCAGAGTGGTGGGAGGTGGTGGGGGGTTGTGAGGAAGGGAATGATGGTTGGGCTTGAGAGGAGAGGTGGACATTAGAGGAACTAAAAGTGTTTACAGGTCCCTGAACAAAGTCACTAAACTCGTCATTGTCCTCATCAAAACCTTTGCTGGCAGAGGACGAGGGCTGAACGTGGGCCTGTGAGGAGAGGCTGAAGTCGGAAGAGGAGGAGGTGGGTGCAGGAAAGGAGGCGGGGGCGTCTAAAGGCCCCTGAAAGTCACTAAACTCATCATTATCCTCAGTCAAAGCAGAGGGGAAGGAATGAGTGGTGACAGACGGGTGTGATGGCGATGAGTCTGCAAAAATTAAGAAATAATGCTGACGATGATGATGATGATGGCACAAAACACAGCCATGGAGAATGAATTAAGGGCTGCATGTTGCAAGAGCACGCTAACCAATAACATGTGCGACAAAAAGTGCTTGTTAAACGTTAAACTTCATGTTTTCTAAAGCAGTGGATAAAAATGAGAGAAAATCCCAACAGAAAAGTGTAACTGAGACGTCTGAGCAGAGAGGATAAACGCACACAAATTAGACGTTACTTTATTTTACAGATCCAATGATTCAAGCTTTAAAATGCCCTTTTTTTGTGCTCGACTCAGATCTGACCCAAACCAGGCAGCTGTAAGTTCGCCCAGCTTCAAAAACTGGTTTTCCAGCAAGAATCTGAAACATTAAAACCATTGTGTTAAACTGGGTTTGATCAATTTACGTCTATAATTCTTTTAAATCCACAGAAATGTGTGCATTAGTTTAAAAAAATGCAAAGTCACTGTCAAGAAGAATAACAGACTCAGATTTAAACAAAATGTATGTATATTTATAAAAAATAGAGCAGACATAACTATAAAATGGTTAAAAAAAAAACAGTTTTATAGTAATGTGGTGCAATTTATGTTGTTTTTCATACTTTCAGATAGAAAAATCTACATTTTGACTAATGTCCATGGCTCTTCAGCTAAACTATGGGAAAAAAACAAGGAGTGTCAGGGTTGAGAGCTAATTGATTTGGGTGAAATTACCTGGCTTCTTGGTCTGAGATGACGGAGTTGGATGCATTTTTGCATCCCTGCTAAACCCGTCCAAGTTCCCTTTGATTGCCTCCAAGGCGTCGTCTCGACTTTTTTCCCCCGTCTGATCAGAAAACCAACAGTTCAGAGGTTAACAAAGACAGAGACGGAGGAAGATGAACACAATCTGCGATGAAACTCGCCTTGGGTTTGACGCTGCTCAGCAGCCTCAGCTTTTGTTTCTGCTCTTCAAATTGTCTTCTTTTTCTGTCCTCCTCCAGCATCTTGTGCTGCTGCTCCAAACGTTTTCTGAAGACAAACAAACATGGTCTAACACAGGCATAGACAAAGGTGAAAGAAGGGAACGGCTTGTGACAGTCTGTAAGATGGACGCGCTTTAATCAGATAGTGCCTTTGTCCTTTAGGAACACATCTCGAGAACCAGTGACAGATTTTTACAAAACTCACGGACAAATATAATTGGATGCACATCTACAACTGATTACTTTTGAAGTAAACTTGATTTAAGATCGTTGCCATGGCAGATCAACATTAGTGAACGCATAACTCAGTGCTAACTGATCGAACAACACCTTTATTTAAAACCTTGGCAGGCAAGGCAGTGAGCGATATGCATTCATTCCTTCAACTGATTTATGCAGCTAGAACAAGCAGCTTATGAGTGCAGTCACAAAACAAAAACACCTGAGGACTGAGGACACAACAAGAGTTGAAGGCTACGGCCCTACTGTCACACCCACAACACCCAAATGTTCTGCTGACAGTGCCCAAACAGTAAAACCACTCCCTAAACCAGTGGTTCTCAAACTAGGGTCCTCGGACCCCTGAGGGTCCGTGAGCCGGTGCTTGGGGTCCGCAATAAATAAATAAATATATATTAAAAAAAATTTGTTTGTTTGTTTTAATTACAAGCATGTACATGTTTAACAATCCAATAAAATACACCAAAATGCAGGACATCACATCTACTTTATTCAAAATTTTCTGGGGGAGGACCCCCAGACCCCACCACCACCACCCGCTCGTTATTTACGTTCTGGCTTCAATCGGTTTACAAATTAAACCCTGTTACTTGGTATGACTAGTGATGTTATGATCATGTTAAGTTTTATGTAATAATTTGAAGAAGTGGCAAAACATTCATGTTCATTATGTGAAAAGGTGATGCTTTAATGTGTTTTTTGATTCTGTTAGTTTGGTCACAACTGTAATTTTTGGAAGTTGAAATTAAAAATGTTGTAATTAAGTGCGTCTTGAATGAAAAATACCCCGTGTTTAAAAGTATAAAAATTGTATAACACCATTAAAGAACAGGTCTTAAGTATTTATCATAAAAGAGGCATACAGATTTTTTTTTTTACAAATTAAAATAAAATGTCAATCAAAAGGACAGTCAAAAGGAAAAAAAAAAGTAGCAACACCCCCACCCCCCCAAAATAAAATAAAAAAACAGCTAGATTATAAGTAGGTGCACAAAACTAAAAACACAACTAATGCAGACATGTTCATGTTTTTAGTTTTCTACAACGCCTTATAAGCTAGCTGTTTTTATTCACTACTTCTTTCCTTTGACTGTCCTTTTGGTTGACATTTTGTTTTAATTCGTTAAAAATAAAATCTGTTTGCCTCTTTTAAGACTGTTTATTGTTGTCATTGTTATTCACTGTTGTCGTCACTCTTTGTTAAGAAATCAGGTCTCTCTTGTAAATGAGTCCCCGAGGCTCAATGAGATTAACCTGTCTAAATAAAGGTTGAATGAATGAATTTATGTTACACAAATATTTCCACTGCATTATAGAGACAAACTGAAGAGAATTATTTAATAAAGATGAGGGTTATGAGGGGGTCCCTGGACCCAAAAAGTTTGACAACCCCAGTCCAAGCCATCCCATCCATCAATAGTTCAGAGCCAGTTTTCCAGAAAACAAGAATAACCACAATATTAAGTGACTGTTATGTGCAACAGTATAAAAATGAACAAAAAGTCTAAAAATATTGAACAAGAAGATTAAAGGAGAAATTATTTTGAAAGAGTTTTAACATTTTAAACAAGAGAAAGGTCCTGAACGCTGCAGAGGTTAAAGTGATTCAACCTCTCAGTTAAGTTTTGTCTCTGGGACATTATGAAAACCTCCAGCTGCGCTCGCGCAAACAGAATCGTTAATTCTGCTGTTTAGCCATGACACAGAAGAAAAATTAACATTGTAACCTGATGGGACTTCATAAAAAAGAAAGAATCATCAGAGCGAATGATGCTGAAGGAGATATGAATCATCATATATTAAAATAAATCATGTTAACGATAAAATAAAACCATTACAAAAAGATAAAGATGCCTTACTGGTGCTCCTCAGCCATTTGTTTCTGCATGTCAGCGGTGAACTGTGGTCCAGCGGGTCTCATGCCCATGAACTGCGGTTGACCCAAGAACTGCATCCCGGGGGTCTGCATCCCGATCGCCATCCCACCCTGTGAAATCCCCACACGTGAAAATTAAACACAGAGAAAAGCAGTGGATAAATCTCATTAGTGTCACAGTCATTTGGTTTGATATGAAATGGTCTCAGTGAAAATACAGACTGATGTTAATGTCCTAAAGCCTTGTTAAGACCCACCAGGCTGCAATAAATTCTTGTAAATGTTTTAAGTAGTTTGAGAAGACGTTAATGTGGAATAAATGGGAATAAGAGGAGCTTTAAATCCACTAGAAAACATCTGCTGAATCCCTGCAGCAGCGTTCCTATTTATCCTCAAGAGCATAGACATTATAAAATGTGAGCCTGACCTGCATAGGAATGGCACCTGGGGGCATTTGTCCCCCAAAGTTCATTCCCATCATGCCCTGCATGTTCGGCTGCATGACAGGACCCATCGGGAAGCCTTGCTGTGGCTGCTGTTGCTGCATGGGGACCATTCCTGCAGAAACACACAAAAACAGCTCTAATTTAATGCAGATATTGAAATGAACTGTGTATACAGTTAGTATTTAAAATAAAGCAGCATGTTTGAATTCAAGTTTACTGTGTGAAAGATAACAGAGGTCAAGTTGTTGTTGTTTTTTTAAAGGCAGCAAACAAAAAACAGCTTCCAGAGCCTGGAAATGATTCGATAATGCAAATCCGATTTTCTGGCGACTACTGTGGCAGCCTGAAGCAAAACAAGAGAAGTGAGGGAGGAAAAAACTGGAAATGTGTGTGTTTATTTTCACAGATGCTGTGTAAGCTGACGAGCAGAGCAGTGAACTCCTGCAGGAGGCTCCCGATGATTCACTGCGTTAAAGCTCAACTGGGCTGAATAAATGGCTTGTTTCAGAGACTGCTAACAGTCTCATTTGTCTGACTGGAATGACATTGCTAACAGAAGCATGTAATGACCCTAAGAGACGCTTGTCCCAGTGGTGCGTGAATGGCTTATCAGTGTTACTGAAGAGTCAGCGGCCTCAATACGGCAAGCGCCCGTGGAAGAGCAACGATATAACTGAGAGTCTCAGCGCAGAGGGGAATAAAAGTAAAACCTCCAGGGAGCTGTTTTTTTATTGCTACAGTGCATTTCTAATGACAGCTGGTGATGTAAACACTATATACATTTTCTTTGCCCACTTTTCCTACAACCATTCACATCTCGTGATAATTTTTTTTTTTTTTTTTTTTCTGGAGTACCCAGAGAATACTCATGCGGGTACAGGGAGAACAAACAAACTCCACACAGACAGGCCCGGAGGTGAACCGGCGACCTTCTTGCTGAGGGGCGACAGCTCTGACCACTGCACCGCCGGGCTGCCTGTGATGTAAACACTATAGGGGCCAGTTGTTAAAAGGAACGCTTACTTTTCTTCTTCTGCTTTTTGGATGATCAGTTGAGTACACGCATCTTTACAGATGTTTCCCCATTATTTTTATGTGGTGCTATTATAGACAAAAAGTTCAGCTTATTCAGGAGATGAGCATTATGGCTTTTGTTGTTGGTAACTTTTATAGTTTTCAAAATATTCAACTTTATTTATAAATATTTTCCCCAAAGGAAATCACCGACATCTTTTCAATTCCTTTAAAACATTGTTCTTTGTTAAATCTACCTCTGGAGTTTATATTGGACTTCTTAGGCCATTTACCGTTTGCATTCACCATTACGCTAAATTGAGCTCTCAGCTAGCTTTTTACTATTATTAGATTTGAGTTAATCTTTTGGTACATTTGCTATAGCTAACCTTTTGCTTTGTTAGCAAGGTTTAATTTTTAGTTAGCATTGAGCAACTTTGGGCTTTTAGCTAATGCTTTTTCTTCTTTTAGCTTTCAGCTAGGCTTTTGTTACTGTTAATTTCTAGCTAACTTTTTAAAACATTTTGCAAGGTCTTTGAAATCTGCTTTAGCTCATTAGATTAATTTTGCCCGGCTCAATTAGCTACTTTTTATTTATAGTTACCACTATTGAGGATGCAGAGGACAGGGTGAGATGGAGGAGGAAGACTTGCTGTGGCGACCCCTGAAGAGGGAAAAGATGAAAGAAGAAGACTGCTATTTTTAGCTTTTAGCTACTAATCGGCTTCTTTTTGCTTTTAGCATTTTGCTATGTTTAGCTTCAAGCTAAAATTCTGCTGCTTTTACCTTTTTGCTACACTTTTGCAATTTTAGCTTTTAGCTAGCATTTTGCTATTTTGGCTTTTAGCCAGTGTTCTGCTTTTTTGAGCTTTGCCAACCCAGTTTCAACTTCTTCAGCTAATTTTAGCAGTCATTCAGCACTCAACATTTATTTAACAGAAACATGAATTGTTTCCTGTTTTAGTAGTTTTGATTTATTGGTTATTAGTGACTTGTTAATCAATATGATGTGACCAATATGTTTTACTGAATTTTTTTAAAAATAAATCTTTGTTTAATGACAACGTGCTTCAATAATAAGCACCTAAATCACATTTAAATTGTTAATGAATCTTTTGAAAAGAAACCCGGTTAAATATTTTAACACTGACTGCAGTATGACTCACCTTGTGGAGGTCCCAGGCCCCCTCCAACAGGAAACATAAAGCTGAAAGAATGACGAAAAGGAAAAACACAAATTATGAGGGTTTTCAAACAACTTCAAGATGTTTTCAGCTACAGAAACTCTGATTTTTGCAAAGGACACTTCCTTTGAACCACCAGCAGCTGAGGGTTGTTGTTGTCGAACTATAAAATTAGGTTTTAAACAAGCACGCAGGAGTACAACACAATGCATGACTATAGGAGGAAGGCGGAGGTTAATGTGGAACAATCTTTGAAAGATGACCATTTTTATGATGACCTGTTAATAAATTAAGCCAAACTTTATTTTAATGACTCTTTTGTTGGATTAAATTCTGTTTTGCATTAGAAAATCTAACTTCAAATGACAACTTAACAAAAAAAGTACTGGTACTCATTTTCTGTTTAAAGATGTGCTTTTATAACCATGTGTTTACTGACTAATGTTGCTATTTAGCTACAGAGTTAACGAAGTCAAATGCTGCAACCCTACATTAAAATATCAGATTTTAAGGTTAAACGTTTTTCATAAAATAAATTCTGTAATTTATTAATTCAACATTTATTTATGCAGGTTAGTCTCATTGAGTCACGACTCACGAGGACTCGTTTTCAAGAAAGACCTGTTTTAGACAAACCACAGACGAGGTACACACAACAATTAACAGCCATAAAATGCATATAAAATAAAGGTAGTGATATAAAACAAACTAAAATCAAGCTACATTATGAAATGAGGTAAAATACTAAAAATACAAATACTGATTTATTTGGGTTAGATAAAATTTCACAAACAAAAGTGTTTGAATGCTAACAAGTAGTAACAACAATGAGGCCGCCTGTGGGTGAACTGTGCAGATGATAGTTGGGTAAACCTCGGGCGAATTGGACTCGTTCTCTGGGTCGTTGAACAAGCCTTTAAGGAAAATCTCCACAAGTGAGCCAAGTCTCCCCCTCGCCGGAGCCAGCCCACACAAGCCTTCAGCTATTTGTTGAACTTATTAGAAATCGGTCCTTGGGGCTGGAAGCAGCGATGCCAAGACATAAAGATGGAACCAGGAGGGCCTCTGACGGGAAAGACTCGCAGCTACGTTGAATCATCGCTAACGCAACAGGCGAGGGACAAGTCAAGACTCAGAACAAACAACAGTTTGAATCCAGCTCTAAAGCCTGATTATGTTGTTACTTAAATACAGTTGAGGTTGCTCTTTCAGTCTAATAAAGCTTTAAACAAAATCATCAATTCTCGTAATTTATCAGCAGCATTCCTTCAAAGAGCAAATCCAAATGTCAAAGAGTACATTCCATGAAATAAAACATGATTATCTTCTTGTGGAATAAATGAATTAATATATTTTGTTTCAGACATTTGACAAATGTTAATGGACATGAAAAAAGACAGATAATATACACGTTTATACTTCTTCCCATTTCATTTAGAACTGAACTTTGAGTTCATTTATTGTAAACGGTGTATAATTTCTATAATTTATCTTTACTGTAATTGTTTTTAGCTAATTATATTTGTTTTATTGCAGATAGAAGATTGGGCAGCACAGTGGCACAACTGGTAGAGCTGCTGCCTCTCAGCGAGCAGGTCCTTGGTTCAAATCCCAGTCCGGGGGCCCTTCTGGGTGGAGTTTGCATGTTCTCTCCGTGCATGCGTGGGTTTTCTCCGGGTGCTCCGGTTTCCTCCCACAGACCAAAAACATGCATGTTAGGCTGATTGGTAACTCTAAATTGTCCCTAGGTGCGAGTGAGAGAGTGAATGGCTGTTTGTCTCGTTTGTCTCTATTATCTATAATAATAATATTTAGCCTTTAAATTTAGCCTATTTTCTTGTAACAAATTATGTTTTGCTCTGCACATTATTTGACCAGTTTTGAATTTTACAAGATCTATACAGTTTAACTCATTTACCCCTAAAACAAATAATAAATTCATACGCTCCAGATATAATAAAAACTATCCTTGTATTTTTTTTTTGTTTTGTAAAGTGCACTGTGGCTGCAGTGTTTTTTTTTTTTATTAATTTCCTCATATCTCCACACAGTAATCAAGCTACTTCTTGGTTTATGAGAGAGGAGAGGGATTATATATATATATATAATTTTACCCTTTTAGAGCATGTCTGACCATTAAAAATCCTTTAGAAAATATCCTAACATTGACATTTTATAACAAATTGTGTTCACTGTGCATGACAGAAATACTAGATGAAAGACAAGAAAAACTATTTTTGGGCGTATTTGTTCCTTTTCTGCTAAATGACAACTTACAGCAGGTGACCTACAAGCAGGAGGCCAAAGCTGCCATCAAAACGACTGATAACGTCACTGATGATGCTCGACTTGGACGGTTTTTACAGCCTCACATCTGCTCTCTGTAAGATCTGCAGCTTAAAGAGCTCTGACTGGAGCTCGACGGCACTGCTGCCCACCATCCTGCAGTGAACAGCAGGTCATCACGGCTGAGCAGATTAACGTGTGAGGAGATAAGCAGCTACAGCAGCTGCGGACACTGTGAGGAAAAAGGCCCGTAATCACCCAACAGCTACTGGCACGCTCTTCTGAAAAAACACGGGGCTTTGAACAAAGACAAATAGGGTGACAGGGCATTATTTCTGTTCCTGTTCTGTGGAAATCGCCCTTAGAAAGGAAACACTTGCTGAATTTCCCAAGTCTCTGTAAAAGCCCTTCAAACTGTTTCAAACATAGAAACTGCATGAATCCATCATACACATGATGGACTGTTGTTGTGTCTCTTTGTCATCTCACTGAGTAAAACGCAGCACTGATACAAATGCTACAATCGACAAAAGCTGTTAAAAAAAGGCTTTACTGCTGGAGCAGTCATGTTTATAGTACTTAAACTAATCATTTTAATACAAACAGGTGCAGTTAATGAGTGATTTACTTCTTATTTATTGCAATATTATAATAAAAGCTTTCCCCCAAATAAATTACAAAACATGTACAGTCTACGTATAATGAGAGGAAACAAATACTGGGACTCTAATAAAGGTCAGATCTGTTTGTTTTCAGGGCTTTGAAAAGAACTCCGCCAGCGATTTTATTCTAGTGGTCATGTTTGTTTTAAAAAATTATTGCTATGACTGTATCATCAGTTTGTGAGGCTTATCAATTGAGCCGCCTTCGATAAACTGGCACGATTTTTTTTAAATGTAATTTATTGTAGCCACACACTTTGTGTGAAATGAATTTTATTGTAATCTAATGCACATAAACATGGTAATCTATGAAGAGAAACGGGTACTAAGACAAAGATATAACGACAAATGAATCGTTCACTGCAGAAAAAAGTATACAAAAAAAAATAGGAAGATCTTCAAGTTCAAGAGCAAAAAATAATGAAATTAATGATTGTTCTCTCGCTCTAGTAATGCCAAAAAGATGAGCCCTGTAAAATCTGAGAAGCCGTTCTCATTTATATCCTGATGCATGCTCAATAATCCAGGTAGAAAAATCCAAAAAAGTTCAATCTGGTCCTCTGGACATTCAAAAAAACAAAAAACAATACAAAGCAAAAAAATCTAGAAACGTTTCGTCTCTCATCCAAGAGACTTCCTCAGTCTGAGGTGCTGTTTTCAGCTCAGTCTCTTAAATTCTCATTTATATTTGTTTAAAATGTACAGTAAGCCTGTTTCCTTGGCAGTGTGAGGGTTTTGGTTTCACCTGTCGGATCAGTATCACCTGGATAGCCGAGATGCTTGTTGCCAGACCATATTTATTATTCAAACTGCTTCTTATGAAATAATCACGAAGCATCCCCATCTCCTCTGCAGTCCACTGCTCCCCAATGTCCTCCAAATGCTTATAAAAGAAGGATGGATGTGACAGTTAACACCTTTTAGGGGTATTTACTGGATATATATTAAAACCAGAGCAATGAACTGACTCTTCGAAGAGTGGACAGTTGTGCTTTTTATTTTTAGCCTCATATATTCTTTAAAAAAAACTCTCCATATACTGAAATAGCAGTCAGTGTCTTTAAAGATGCTAAAATGGTGACAAATGTTGGCAGGTACGTTCAGGCCTGTCAACACATACCTGTCTTTTTAGGGCTACATGGGGTTTTATTAGCAGCTTTCAAAGAAAACGAGCGTAATAAACCAGAACCTCGTTGACATCATGGAGAATAATTGCTATGGCCAACATTTAGTGCGAAAAGTGTAAAAATGTGAGCACTGTTAGCATTATGTGCTTCCTTTCTGACAACAGCCAGGAGCTAACGTTAGCCGAGACACCTGACAACCAGCCATCTCATCTCAGTCGCTCGACAACAAAACCGGCCTCTATCACGAGCTCTGGGACGGTTCTGAGCGCCAGGAGGGGGGTTGTATGAAAGTCGGAAGTGTATATTTTATAAAGAAATTGTTTTCGTCCAAAAAGTTCAATTTTAAAAGGCTAAAATACCTGCTGCCTCCTCCAGACCCTGGCCGCAGCGCCATCTTGATAACAGCAGTCACTAGTATGAAGATGACGTCAGCGGCGTCGACCGTGAAAAGAAGGTGCCCTGAGTTTTGCCTGACAGGCACAGCTGGCTGCGCCTGACGAGCCGTGCACCGCGGAAGTTCTTTGTTGTCTCAGAAGAGGGAGCAAAGCTATGGACGGAATGTGACAAAATGAAAGAAAAAAATTCATAAAGAGGCCATGGCCACAAATAAAGATGTCACAGCTGTGTATGGCTCCACTTGGTGACACATTCAACATGCCTCCTATTGTTAGTTGTGAAGACAGGCAGTAACAACTGTGATGTGCAGGCAAAACGTAATGCAATAATACAGTTTCAGTATATATATTATTATTTTAAATTCTCCAACTCGAATGCTTCAAAATAATCCAAAGTATATCGAAATTTTGCGATTTACCGCCTGACATGGCAACAGTTTTATTTACAAGCAAAAACTGCTGTTAAGTAAATAAAGGCTAATGATAATAAATAAATTCCACATGCACAAATTTGTACAAAATGTATTTTGTCTTTGCTGACATTTTGTGCATAAATTGAATTATGTATACAATCTGTAACAAACTGCTTTGTACCTTTGAATTTCTCACATAACTCTCTTCATAAAGCCCTGAGCTGTTCCCCTTCTTGTCTGTCATTTGGAGGTTGTTCCTGCGTCTCTCTGAAGGAAAAAAGATGCAGAAACTCAGCTGTCATTTGATCACACTTTAAGTTTGAGTTCACCAAGTGAGAAAAGCCAGCATGGGCAACATTTACCATCAGTTTTGTAGCCTTGAGTCTTTAAACTGGTTTATTTAGTTCCTGCAGTTCCTGTTATGACCAGCAGGTGTCAGTATTTATCTTTGGATTGCATGCTGAATAACATCTGGAGTTATGAAATTTGTTTTTTCTTATTTTTTTCAGTCTCACTGCTAAAATGTTTAAACCAGGGAAGAATTGTCAAAGTATAACTTTTCTCTATGAAGCAGCAAAGACTCCCTTAATTCCCCCTTCAATTTGCAGCAGTTTGTCAAGCGTATGCTTTTAGTATTGGGAAAAAAAAGAGTAAAATGTTATTTTCAAAGTAGTGTCAGCTTCACAATTTTACAAAAGAACAATTTGACAGCAATGCACCTGCAGAAATGTGTAATAGGAAAAGCAACACCCAGCTGTAAAGGATCCTTGATTATGATAAAAAAAATTGTTGAAAATAAACTGCAAAACATCAAAAGTTCATTCTCCAGGTAAAAAAAAATATCCAACAACGCTAAATCAGGTCACCTGGACGGTTTCTTTATGTTGGATTATTGAGCATTAACTTTGATGTTTTGAGACACTTGGACCATGGCTGCCTCAGAGGGGTCGACGGGGGAGAGGGAGGACTCCAGAAACCATCTTATCACCATCAAACTTGACCCACTATGTGAGTGTGCTGCTTGTGGGACTGAGTTTGTTGTGGCTCCTCAGACTAATTAAGTCTTTTGTACGAAAGACAAAACATTTCAACACAAAGAAACTTAACTTTGTTGGAATTTAAATAAAAGTGTTTTTTTTCCCTATCAAAACACTAAACCAGCCCCATCAACCATCCTCCAACTGGTCACTAAAGTTTCCACTTAATTTGTTTTTGATCTCACCAGTCTAACATTACTGTAAAATAATTGAGTCTTTTCATTTCCTTTACAAAGTCACATCAGTCTCATGCACATCTCATTCCTGGCTTTCTTCCACGGGCTCAACTTGGCCTTACTCAGGTCAACCAGGCGCAGGTTCAGACTGTTTCCATTAGGTGATCCCACCTGACTCGAGCTGAAGATTTGACACCAACAGACTGCAGGACATTGATTGGACAGAGAGCTTGTGGCTAACGGGTTAACTGGTTTAGTCTGTCAATGCTCAGAAACTTTTTTAGAAACTTATGGAGAGGTGTACCAGACACACACTAAAAGTTCTGTGAAGGAACACACGTAAAAACTAATTCTCTGAATAACTCTCTGGGTTGGGAGAGAGGTGCCCCCTGGACGTTGCCCTATCGAGATGTCCTGGGCATGTTCGAGTGGGAGGAGACCCCAGAGAAGATCAAGGAGATACTACGTCTTTGACTACCGTTTCCTGGGAGTCCATACTGAGGGGAATCTGACCTGTAGCATGAACACCTCTGAGTTGTTGAAAAAGGCCCAGCAGAGACTGGACTTCCTGAGAGTGCTCAGGAGGAACGACATCACTCAGAGACTGCTGCTGTCTTTCTACAGATGCTCCATAGAGAACGTCGTAACATACTGCATCACTGTGTGGTATCTTATAGCTGCACAGTGGCTCAGAGGAAAGCGCTCCAGATAGTTACCAACACAGCCCAGAAGACCGTGGGCTGCTCTTCTCTCACTGGAAGATCTGCACAGTTCGTGCTGCGTAGGACAATCCCACAGCATCTTAAAGGACACGTCTCACCCTGGACATGATCTGTTTGAACTATTACCATCAGGGGAAAGGTACAGATCAATCAAGACAAGAACAAACAGATTTTAAAGTAGTTTTTACCCATCAGCCGTTACTGAACTTAAAAGCTGTAATAAAAACTGCATAAGTGCACTAAGGGACAACTAGTGTAACATCAGTCTGCTGGTGTTGCACATTTGGGGTGTTTAAAATTTATTATTATTACCTTTTATACTGTTTTTATAAAGTACTATGTGTTATCATCATTTGCCTGGACCTGCCTGCTCAAGCTGCTGCCCCTGAGATCCAAACTCTGAAACAAGAGGAAGATGATGGATGGATGGATGATTAATTCAGGTGGTTGTAATACTAATATCACTGTGGATAAGCGGTCCAACTCAGCCTTAAACAGATGGAATCAGCCATCACTGAGGTCAGCTGCTCCAGATGAAGTCTCCACCAATGCCGCTCCAGGAACTCCCTCTCAGGCTTCTCCTGCAATAAAATGATTAGTGGGAGAGAGAAAAAAAGCTAAAACCAGGAAAACAAACCAAATCCTCCTTCAGGGTCACTGCTGATGGCTTTCCGCCTTGGCGTTGAGTAAACACAAACACATCATTTTGTAACGCCTCCTTGAGTAAAAACAGCAGCCGACCCAACCGTGGTGCGTCTTATCTCCAACAGTGACCAGCCAAACTGCAGGACGGAGGTGAGTCATCCGAGCACTGATAAGAATCTCTCTATGGAAGAGGAGAAAACAAAAGATATCGTTGTTGAACTTCTGAGGAGCACACGCCCAGCAGTGTCCTTTGACCACCTAAACGTTGAGCTGTTCGTGTGTTTCAACAGAACCAAGAAGTTCTGGGCTCTTTTTAACTGGGAGCTGCTGACAGTTTGGGGCTGTGGAGAAGAAAAAGCTGTTTGGTGCTCGCTGGATGCATGTGAAGGGTTTAATGGTGCTTCTTCTCTCCACGTCCTGAACTTTTACACCTGCTCCAGAACCGCCAAACCCCAACCCTCCAGATTTAGGAACAAGAGGACGCTTAAAATCCTCTTCTTTTAGCTTCTTCCCCTGAGGTGATTGCTACCTGTCCTCTTGAAGGAGGGATACAAAACCTTTTCACTCACTGCTTTTCCTTTTTGACTGCTTTCATATAATACAGATCTTGTCAACTGGCAGCCCATGGGCCAGATACGGTCCTTCGTAAAGTTTCTTTGGCCCCGAGAAAGCTGCCAAAAATTTAAACCGAGTTGACTGAACATGATGCAAACATATGCAAAACATCATCTATAGCTTGAGTGTTGTATTATATTTTCCTGCCAAACAGACAAGGTTGGTAAACCATGACAACAGAGAAGGGGGTTGTGGGTAAACGTGCACCAGCAGCAGTTGTCTGACAAAAGACCATAAACAGGTCAAGTTTGAAGCCAAAAAGATGGAAGGTAGATTTAAAACGTAAAATTTTGGAGTAAATGGACTTTAAATCGTATTTTCTTCAACTTTGCCAACAGTGACCCTAACACCGTTTGTTGCTGTGATTGAAGAATACGTCATGAAAAGACTAAACAAGTCAATACGTGACTCTTTTCTGAGCAAGTTTTCTAGAAAAATCAGAACAGTGAGATAAAACAGGAGCTAGCAGCTTTTTTCTATGTCTGAGATAGCGTCGATAGGGAAGCCCATTTCCGCCATGAAAGAAAAAAATAAAAGCCCAACAGGAAATCATAATTTTGAGTTTAAAGTCATAATTTCAAGTTTTAAAGTCATAATTAAGGAATAAAAGTAACAATTATGAGTTTTAAAGTCATAATTTTGACTTTTAAAGTCATAATTACAAGAATAAATGTCATAATAATGAGTTTTAAAGTCATAATTATGATAATAAAAGTTATAATTTCAACTTTTAAAGTCACAATTTTGACTTTTAAAGTCATAATTATGACTTTAAAACTCAATTATTACTTCCTGTTGGGCTTTTATTTCATAGCGGAAATAGGCTTGGATACTAAATGCTATAAAGTGGCGATGAAAAGATGTATACATTACATACCTTTATTTAAAAGGACTGATGTTTGAAGGCTGAGGGACATACATTGAACGAATGAATCCATGTTCTATGCAGGAAAACTACTGGTGCTTGACAGGAAGTTGCATCCATGTAGAGTCACGGTGTAAAAAGACAAATTTCCAAATTAAATTTGAAACGTTGAAACTATGACTTTAAAACTCGAAATTATGACTTTTATTCTCATAATTATGACTTTAAAACTCATAATTATGACTTTCGTTTTCATAATTATGACTTTAAAAATCAAAATTATGACTTTAAAAATAGAAATTATGACTTTTATTCTTGTAACTATGACTTTAAAAGTCGAAATTATGATATTTGTTCTCATAATTATTACTTTAAAACTTGAAATTATGACTTTCTGTTGGACATTTATTTTTTTCTTTCATGACAAAATGGGTTTCCATACTTCTCTGTCAGCAGCTCGAGGATTAAAAAAAAAACTATTTCAAAATAAAGGTTCACACACGTTTTGAAACTCACCAGAAACTTTGCATTCTTTTAAAAACAAAAGTGA